AAATCCATGCTAGCAGCAAGCAGCCTGCTTTATATGTTACTATATTGCAACAGATGCTATGTTTAGCTTTTCACTTCTCTTCCAGCTGTTGAGTTTTTAAACAAAATCTTTACTGACCTTAAAAATACTACTCAACGAGTAAGGAACTAGTAAAAAATTATAAAAATGTCCCTCAGCCCTGTATGGTCCTCACTTTTGAGGCATCTTCCCCTTTGGCAAGAGTTTGACTTGATGCACCAAACTTATCAAGATTCTCTGTCTGGATCAGAAAGAATATGATTAAAAATAATAAAATACAGACTGATGAGCATTGGATAAACTGTCTTGTTTTGGGCTTTGTTTCCAGTGTGTCACTGGACATTATAGTGGCAGGTTTTAAAAAACCAACCAGACAAAATGATTGGATTTTCACATAAGGATTTTAAGAGGCTCTAAGAAATGCCAATAGATATTTCACATTCATAGTACAGTTGTGAGTGCTGATAGTATTGTAAGGGGGTACCATCCCAGCCAAAGCCCTCGAGACAGTCTTAGAGAATGGCAAGAACATAGCAGCAATGATCCCCTCCTGCCCTAGCAGGAGATGCAAGGTCTGAGAAATGCCAAAAAAGTGAATATAGTGAACTTTATGTTAGGAGTGTGATAAATTTTGATGGGTCCAGAAAGGTCTAGATAAGCAGGCAATACACAAGGAGCACAAAGATACTCTTCTCCCAAATGTAAAGCAGAAAAGCAAACATAATGAAGTGATGCATTTAATCTTTTCATTTAACAGGATTAAGAGATTAATTTCCATCTAGATTTACAAATATTATGAAGAGTTTATTGAGCTGTGTCTGAAACAGTAATACTATTTACTAGTTATTTTAACATGATTATTGTTCTAAGTAATTCATAGTCCTAGAAATTGCTCTCCTTTGGTACAGGAAGGAAGAGAGTATGCTCTTCACAATCCCTGTTCTATAAACTCCAGTCTGCTCCCCCAGTATTTTCACATCTCCTGTGGGTGACCAAATTCATTAGTCATTGAGGCATCATGTAGATGCAGGTGGATATTAATGGATGCTGTGATGAGCAGTTTAACAGGTACTTCTTGCATGTATCAGAAACTTGGCCATTGCCAATTGTCAGAAGCTCTGGAGTTAGGCATCAGCTGAAGGGGCTGGCAGAGAAGGCCCGAGGGAGGAGAATGAAGCTGGGTAGGAGTTAGGGATCATAGTCTTGGATTTAGTTGAAATTCAGCATCAAATTCTGTCCTCAGAATTAGCAGTTGCATTCCATTCTCAGCCCTCCTACCTTCTTGCCACATGACAATTCATTTGTCCCTCAGTTTCTTTATCAGTGAGACAGAGAAAAATCTCTCATCCTGGTACAGGTATCTGACAGTAAAAGGTAAAAATATCTGTCTGTCTCTTCATCCCCACACTAACATTTCCTGCAAGGAAGCCTATAGGAAAAATCCCATTCCAAGCAGGTTAATTTACTGAAACTAGTAACTGGAGAGCTCACCTGGTACTTGCTTGTATATTGCTCCGATCTTTCCTAGTTCAGGGCAGATACTGTTTGTGGGCAGGAAGAAGTCTGAAGAAACAGAGCAAAACGCTGAAACATCAGACAGCAGTGTGCTCCCTCAGCCAGTCACCCCATTTAGCTATGTTTCAGTCCCAGGGCACTTGACCTGCTTTTTTTAGATAATGTGCAGTGCTCTTCCTCCCTAATGGGGTCATGTTTATAGACATTTATGTCAGTGGCCCCTTTAAGTGAGAGTACAGCTGACCAATTCCACAATCCTGGAGCATCAGGACCAACCTTTCACTGACCCTAAACTGACCCTTTCTAGGTAGTCCAGCATGGAGGTGTTTTCCCAAAAGATATATTATGGTTGAAAGTGTATAAGGGCTCTAAAGTGTTGTTATTTCTGGCAGGGACCCAACAGCTGAACAAAATTAACTGTGCTGCTTCTCCCATTACTTTTAATCTTTGGGCATTTTTTTTCCAGGAAACCTTGAAGAGAATTCAAAACCCTAAAGGAGACCTTTACCTTCTTTTATTAATCCCCCTCTCCAGTCTCGCAGACCTTCTCTGCCTTTCCAAACTCTTCAGGGAATGCTCTTGCACTGCCAAGCAAAGCCTCTTCTAAGCTGGCCCATGACAAATGCTCTCTTCTGTATCCCTCACTCCTCCCTTCTCAGCTCTGTTAGATGGTCAAAGGACCTGCCTGGTTACCGACCCACTTGGCAGATCAGTTTTCTCAGTTTGATGCCTTTCTTTGCAGACTTGCCAGCCCCCAGGGACTGGCTCAGCAATCTTAACTAGCACAAACACTGCACATTCCTGCATGCACATGCGTACACATGGATCACTTGTCCCCTATGCCATGCTCTTGGAGAGTGTCTCTGGGGACAGGTTAATAACTAAGGTCAAATAACTAGGATACAATTCAAAAGAAACCAAACCACTTAATACTATTTTTAAAGAAGTCTCTGCAATCTTTCTGTATTTTCTATTATTTTTATATTTCCTATTGTCTGTCATTATTTTGCTAAGATAACCTCTAACAGACTTCTTGGAGCTAGCAACTTTAAACATCTTTAAAATTAAGTATTTTTAAAGAAAACTATTCCCTGGAATAACACTTCATCACAGTACTTGGGTTTTTTGGGAATGACATTTCACAAGATTTAAAAATAAAACAGTGAAGAGTAACAATTTTAGATTTTGATCTACAGAGATTTAATTGGAATGGAAGACAATGTGAATTAAAAGTGACCTTGCATTGGCAAATGTTTGCTAAGACAAAATTAGTTTAATAGTAAATATTTTTTTAAACGAGTAGTCTTTAGAGATGCTAGGTATAAAAGGAAAACTAAGGGTAAAAAAGGTCTGCTGTTAACAGAAAATAGTATGATACGCCACCTTGCTTCAGCCCTGACAGAAAAATGGGATGAACAAAAATCTACTTTAAGAGGAGAATAAAGAAACAGGTTAGAATAAGAGAACAAAAGTGTTCAGTAAACATGAGAAAGCTGCTTTCAGATTGACAGGACCAGTTCAAAGAAACTAATCAATTCTATCATGAAGCAAACAGTTTTTAACTCTGTAGATGATAAGAACCTAAAGTTCAGAAAGTTCAGCAGGAAGGCGGTAGGCATACTATCTGGAATCAGAAGGAAGGCAAAAAAGTTAGGATAGTTTAGGAAAATCTGACCAATTAGGAAAGATTAAAAGGCCCAGATGATTAAAAACAGGCAAACACATTTTTAACTTTATAAAACAAGGAAATTAAGTCAGTTTAAATTCAGTATCCCAAAGATACTGCAAAGATCTCAGAGTCACAACTCATGTGCAGAGCCACAGGAGAAGAAAAAAAAAACAACAGACAGCAGACCCGGCTAATTCAAATCTGTGTATTTGTGACTCAGATGTTCTTTAAAATAGCATGGGTGTAACTGATATTGCCACAATACAGGATGGGTGGATTGGTCACCAGCCAGTCCATATATTTCTAATTCTTTAAGGTTGTTTCTTGTTAGGAGTTCTTTAGACAGAAAAAACCCCTTTTTTTCTGCTCAAGTGATCAGCTCTCCTGTTATGTACTTGTTTGTTATACCAGTTACTACCAGTTATTAGCATTAATTTTATCAGAAGAGTTATAGAAAAATATGGAAAAGATGTAAAGTGGAAAAAACAAATGACCAAAGACCCCCATACACAACTAAGTGGGCTCTCCCTGGTGCATGCTCACAGACCTCAGTGTGAAGCACTAAGAAAGGCAGAAGCAGCAGTAGCAGGACACTTGCCTAGTGAATGCTTTCTTTGCTGTGTGACAACTGCATACCATGAGGCTGTGGAGGGAGTAATTTTGGCCAAACTAACTGGCGGGGTGTTTGGTGTATGTCAAACTAAGCCATAGCACAAAAGCTGCATCTCTCTCTTTACAAGGCTGTAAGGCTGAATTACTTTTCTAACAGACTGAACTAGACTAGTTTTGGTTGCAGTAAAATTGATGTATATTACTTAATTAGGGTTCACAGAATAAAGTGTATGTTATGGTCGTACTTTCTCAACTAACTTGTCACAGAAAACAGAAATTGCTCAGTAATGTAAAAATTTCAGTACTCATGCAAAGTTAGGCCTCCTGTAAAGAATACCGTTTCTTATGGCAGTAGACAGTATTCCTCCAAAACCGTACCATTGCAGCAAAGTCTGCTGCTGCAGTCTAATCCCATGTCAGATTAATGGCAAACTAGAAATACAGGTAGCATTCCCCTCAGTACGGCTACATTTTTATTGGTTTAAAATTGAATGTGGTAGCAGTAATGGAACAAGCAATTAAAATGTGAAGTTAAACCCAACAGCTAGGGCATTTGATGTCTTTTATGAAGTCACTGGGCTAATGCCAGTGTTTGGCTCACCCTGGAAGGAAAACCTAAGCCAGGAAACAGTCTTTATGCTTTTTGATGCTCCAGACACTAATTATTCAGCTATGACAAACAAAATACAGGAGGGCATCACTCAAGTCTTATGCTACCTTGTTATTCCCATTTAATGACTGCATCTTCAGTGTGCAGATTTTCTGTTGCCCCCAACTCACCAAACCTAACTATGCTACTGTTCACATCTGATTTAAAAAACAAATATCAAAGACAATCAAATTCCTATTCTGGGTCAACACCATGCCAACACAAAGCCAGGAATACACAGTAGCACTGTGCTCTACTACTTATTTGCAGTCAGGAGGGTTCCATCAACCATGAGCTGGACTGACCTGAATAATGAAAGCTTAAAACATATGCATAGCCTTTGCTGGTTTGCAGTCACTAGTACTATTATACCTTCCAGTCGTGATGCCTGCTTTATGGAAGACACGTGGATGCTTTCTCGTTCCTCAGCTGGCCAGTATGTGTATGCTGGTGAAAAGCTATAGGGAGGATTTGCCTCATGCTGCATTCACCCTGTTAAAAGCCAACATGATGATTCCAAACAAAAAGATAAAATAGTCTGGTGGATATACATAAATATTTATTATCAGTTTAACTTCATTTTACTGGAAGTCTTTAAACAAGGGGTTTTTTGTTGATTTTTTTTTTTTTCCAAAATGTTGCATCTGACAGATGCTTCCCTGCACTGGGAATGCATAGCTTACACTTTAGATTCCAAAACAGTCTCTTCAAGATAAAGAACCTTCAACTTTAGTGCATGTGGAGCTATTTAAAGATTGGTAAAAAGAATTCCCCTTCCCCCTCCCAAATTAAGAGTCCGTTACAAAGATTTCATTACCAAAAAGTGAATATACAAATACTAGAAAAATGCTGGCTTGAAAAAGTGATTTCAGAATTTACTGTACACATTGTAACAATTTATTATATAAGCTGCTTCTACATGCAAGCAGATCTTACATTTGGTGTAAAACATTTATACACATTCTTTACAATTTGTACATATTTAAATGGCTGTATCAAACAACACTGAGCTATGGAATTTTGGAAGCAAACAACTAAAATTGGGAGGAGAAAAAGACAAGGTTTATAAAATGTGAACAAAACTTGTGACACTGAAAAGCATCTAGACTTAGGCTTAGTCTCATTTGGTTTGGTTTCAGGTTATTCAGGCAGATCCAGATTTTACTTCTAGCACACAAAAGTAACACCAATGCAAAAGAGAGTAAGGCAACTATTGAACCAGCAGACTGTACCCGTCACTTAGAATGGCTTATAGGTAAAATGCCTGTTTTAGGGTTTTTCTTTCCTAAAATGTTTATTTTGTAGGCACATTTTAGCAAAAACTGCATTTTGGCTTCCCTGCTTGTCTATGGCAAGAAGTGAATTACTGTAGTTGGTGCCCATTGTGAACACAGGTGGTGGTGGCTTTTTTGGTTTGATTCTGTGAAAAGCCAAGGCCTCAAATGGTATTTCAGTAGTATGAAAGAGGACAATGATAAAGGATAATGATCAAAGCACAGAGTTTGTGTGATAACTAATGTGGTTATTCGGTACTTTTGCCACCTTTTAGTTTGCATTAGAAGGCAACAAAAAGTTAACCCGACCCAATAGCATACCATACTACTACATGAAGACCTGAGCTTAGTTGGAATCTGGGGACTTCTACTATTTGGGGTTAGATGAGGCAGTGTCCCCTCTGCTGAAACACTTCAAACTCTCAGAAGGGAAGCTGGCCCTGTACAGCACTAAGGAACACCAGTGCCTCATGACATAACATCGGGGGTGTCAAAGTGCTGGTATGGGAACCTGTTTTTCACACCTTCCTGAATGGCTCATTCCTTGTTTGTACTTTGTCTTCTTACAGAGTGCATAGTGAGAAAGAGTGAGCCTGACATAAGCTCTGAGTTGGTGTGCCACAAGTACAAGATTTAGGTAGAAGAAAAAAGAAGAAAGGGAAGAATGAATTATATTTACCAGAAGTCATAATGGGAACGGTATGCCATGGCTGCATATGGGAAGCAAAACTTAAGAACAAAGCATTAGTTCAGGAGATTATCATGAACATGTGCCAGAAACATATGAGAATATAAATCCTCCTGGTTACTGAATTGCTAGAGATCAATTGAATATAATAGTATTAATTCATTTTCTCAAGTTTGTCCGCTTTCCCATTTAAAAAAAAAAAAAAAAAAAAAGAAAAAAACCCAAACACATAACTCTGATGTTGATTACAAGATTTTGGAAGAACATCTGATAGACCCAAGTCTTCATTAAGTCCATGGCAACACATCAGTTTGATAATTTAGATGCCTATAACTGACAGCATTATCTAGCTGTTTTTATTTAAATGGTGATACAAATGGGAGAGCATTCAAGATAAGAGAACCTTATCTTATGATTTAGGCTGATAAAGTAAAATTTAAATAATACTTTTTTTCTACAACTGATTCTTCTTCTTCTTCTTGGGTTGTTTGGTTGGTTTTGGGTGGTTTTTTTCCCAATTTTTTCTTTTTAGTGTGGGTTGGTTTTTTTTTTTTTTTAGTTTTTGTGTGAGTTTGTTTTGTTTTTGGTTTTTTTTTTTTAAGTTTTCTTTTTAGCAAAGGCTTTTTATTGGCATTGCCCCCACGTCAATAAAGCACTTTGGAGTTGTTCTTTATTGTTGACTACTCCTTCCTTATCCTCTACATCACAGGAAAGCGGCTGAGTGCCTGCCTCAGCTTCTGTGCAATCTGAAAAAGAAGAAACAGAACATATTTAATATGTAGTGACTTTACACTGTGCAGAAATATCATTGCAGGGTAAGAAATTAATTGTTTCCTCATTTGATGAAAGACTGGAGGTTTTACTGCAGGTTTTGTGTGTAGGACTCTCAAAGCGTTCCATTATAAAGACTTTTCATATATACACTTTCTGCCTTGTTCATTTTGTACTTTCACTGCTAAGGTTGGGTTGGAGAAAGCATTGTAGGCAGGGCTGTTATCCTGCCTATTTGCTTTTCTAGCACTTCACTACACAGGAGAGCTACATGAACAAAGCCAGATTTTCCAGGAAACTCGCTTCCCTACTGAAACAAGGCTGAAACATCAGGACAGAGTTCCTGTGCACTCCCCACAGCTCTCATGGTAGCCAAGATCCCACATGTGAACGTGTACAGGGAGAGGGGACTGGTACAAGGAAACTGGTGAGGCTGCAACCAGGAGGATCAGAACAGACTGGATAAGAGACTGAAAGAAGGTAAGGGGAAACCTATGCCTAGCCCCCATCAGATGTGTCAGAGAAAGTAAGCAAAGTGATGACCTCATGGGGATCTAAAGTTGTCATCCACTAAAGATACCTCTGAAGTCCCACTGTCAAATTTTATTGCTGTGAAGAGCAATCAGTTAATTATGAGACTCCTTTAAGTGATAGAAGTCAGTTTCCAGCACACTTAAACTTGTATGTTTTACCAGTATCCCACATTAGAAAATTTGTTTTCTGGTTTAATTATAAAAAGCACAAGGAATGAGAACTAAGCTTATAGGCAGAGTGCTTAGTGTTAACATATTGAATGTCATCTAAACCCCTCCTGTCCCTTGTGCCCCACACTTGTGTACATCACAGAAGCTTCCCTTCTCACTCCCATCCTATGGGAGCTAAGTTCTGTTCAAGTGTTTTATTGTTACAGTCAGTGCAGCAGACCTTGTTGACTGCACATCACAGAACTGAAGGTCTTTGTAACCCTAGTACTGACATTGAAAATAAACCCCTCAAGCTATCAACAATAATGTTTTTGAAAACTGTTTTTTATTTCTAATAAGTTTATTATGATAGTTATGTACCTAGGAGAGTATCTATAGGAAAATATGATTTTAACGCATTCTTTGGGGTTTGGCTTTTTTTACAATTCTTTTTACAATTTTGTGCAATTCTTCAAATATCTGCTCAACAGGAGAGTCTCATAAAAAAAATGGATTACATACTGTGAGTATTTCTTATAAAAGTAGCAGCACAGCACATTCCAAGAAAACAGCACTGAAATACTGCACCTTACCGTTTCATAAAACTGTGCCTGCTGCTCCAGATAGAGACGAATGACGCTGTTGTAGTCATAAATCCGGTTACTGTGGAAGTGATTCATCTCAGCTGCAATTAGACCCAGGAGACAAATTATTTTAGAGAAGCACTTGTAATTAGGAACAGTTTCACTCAGTTCAGGTTAGTAACTGTGCAACAGGCTCAGTGTCCAGCCCTGCCAGCACAGTTTTTGTTCTCGTGCTTCCACAACCTGTTTTGCCTGCAGTACTCAACTTACGATGAAACTGTTTGTAAAACTGGTAGGGTGTCAGTTACACACTGACAAAATCTGGACACTTCCTGGACAAAGACAGGTTCTTGTGTTACAGTACTCAGGTGTACAAAGATTCAATTAAAAAACACAAGCAGAATTGTCTCCTACTGAGGTAACTACTGAGGTGTTTCCAACAGATTTTGGCTAGCACATTCAGATTTCCAAGGGTATGGATATCAAGTTGTAAGCCACAGCAGTAAATATTTAGCTCAAAATAATAATAATTAAAAGAGATACAGCCAGTAGTGTCTGACCCATTCTTCAATGATGCTATTTCAACAGATACCCAAGAACTACCATTACTGAATCCATAACACCTCACATCACTTTCTACATCTCTTGTCAGATCACAGCTTAGGGTTGAAAGAAAAGTTAAAATATATTTTGAGATATCAATAGAGGGAGAAGAAATATTCTAGATTGCAAAAGTCATCCTAGAGGCCTCTTCCATAATTTCCAGGTGTACAGCACAATCCTCTTGCATTGCTGTAACCAGGAAGAAGGGGGTGGGGAGTTTTCTTCATTGTTTTTAAAATTAATTTTGTGTGCTGCTCTGATTTTGTCACGTAAAATATTGAGTACTCTTGGCTTTAAGCCAGCTAAAAAAGATGAACTCCCTCAGCAATGAGTAGTCTCACTGAAGTCAATAATAGGATGCACTTAAGGGCTTGATATCCTGCAAGACTGAGCCCTGATTCCTCACTTCCCTGCTTTTTCAAGTGCGGTGTCCTGCATCTCATGAACATGTACAACACATCTAAGCTAAAGAGGAAAAAATTTATTCAATGAACATCCAGGAAATAAAATCTTATCCACAAGAACATGAATCTCAACCAAATTATCTGAGTAAAGCATGAGTCAGAAAAACACCTCTGCACATGATGAACTGCTTCTTGTACCAGGGTCCATGCCTTTAATTTGAGACATTATTGCTTCAAAATCAAAGAATCAGCCTGGGGTAGTTGTTTTGGGATTTTTAATTGCATTTTCAAAACATGTATCTTTTGCTCCAGCAATGTGAGATTTAAAAAAAAAAAAAAACACAACACAAAGCAGGGGGGAGAGGATTGCAAAATAACTGCAATTCAAGAAAATCTAAGCAGGTCACAAAAAAACCCTCCACAAACAACCCATGCCTAGCTCTTATTCCAGTATGAAGATTTCCTTTCAAAGTATGTTACTTAACAGATGTCTTTCAGAGGTCTATAACATTGCCATTTAGCTCAAAATTTGGTTTACCTTGTAGTGCATAAGCCATGGTGCTCACACGTTTCACCATGTTCTGTTTGTCTTGTGGCGTTATTTTACTGGTTGCAACTAACTTATCACTTTCCTTCACTCTTTCTATTGCTCCCTGTAGAAATCAAAAGCAGAAAAGATTAAAATAGTAGTCAACTTAGAGGTCTCTATAGTAACCTAAAATACCACTAGCCACATTTTGAGTTTGCATGCTATACACTATATATAGACATACAGTGACTGATTCTGCCTTCTCACATTTTCATCCAAAGTTTGTTATTTCACTGTATTGCTTTTAAGAGTTCTTGCAAAAAGTGAATTCAAACACAGGCATGAGCAGAGTCACCAGCAAATTTGAGTTTGGTACAGGCAGTAATGCACGAGGCTAAAAAGGACAAAAGGACTAAGTTTCAAAATACAGCTGACCAACATAACTGACATCCAAAAGTCTCAAATTATCAAATGCCTGTAGAACCTTTATTTACAGATTGTACAAGATGAAGCAACATAAACTAATTTTTAAGAGACTACAACTTATTGCAGTGCATTATCATTGATTCAGGAAAATCCTTGTGTCACATAAATAACAAGCATAAAAAGATACACCTTCCCTACACAATGTATTTGTGCCAAACAACATTCAGGAGAACCTATTTACATGTCTTTTGGCAGTAAGTTTATGTTTCAAGCTTTAAAAATGTTTCTTCTCCTTTATGGTATTTTTCCCCAATGATTCTGTGGGATGAAGGACTGTAAATGTCCTGAAGAAAATACACAATCTGATGTGCTTTTTTCTTTGTTGCTCTCAGAAGTATGTTCTTATGTTTTAGTTTTATACATATAACATTTCAAGTGATAAAAAAAACTTGCAAGCACATACTTGTGTACTTGCTTAATACTTCACAATTTTTAGTCTCCTGAAATACATTACAGCAAGCACATGACCATAAGGAAATCTCTAAGAAAAAAAAAAAGGCATAATATCCAAAACTAGACAGCATGGGTTTTGTACTACAAAGAAAAAAGTGGTTGTTTTTTGTTGCTGGTGCTTTGGTTTGTTTGTTTGTTTTTCCTTACCTCCAGAAATGTTAGCCCTAGTCTGTTTTTTTGATAGTAAGAAATTTCCAAACAATACATGATTACTTATTACATATCAGTAAGCCAGCCATATAAGTTTTCCTACAATACTGGTGTGGTTTTAGTATCAACTATCACATAAGACTCAAAAATTACAAATTCACAGTTCTGCTATTCTCTGCATTGGGACATGAAGTTAACCTGAAGAAAGTCATGAATGTTCTACTCCTCTCTTATAGCAGAAAGTCATAATATTCTCAACTCTTCTGAGAAGCTCTAGTTTCCCTCCCATCTAAGTACTTCTTATTTTAAAATAAGTCAACACATCAGTTTCACAGAAGCTTTTAGTGTTTCTAGAAACGGGCCAGGCTGCTGCACAAATGCAGTGCACTGTAGCACCACTTCTGCTGCTGTTCCTGCTGCCCAACCCTTGAAAGGAAAGGTTCTTCACATACCTTATGAGCTGCTATGATGTCAGGGAAGCAACCGAGAAATCCCTTATATTCATGATTTGTTTCCATCAAAAAGTGAAGATCTTTCTTTGGCTAATAAACAAAGTATAAGCATTAGTAAAACTATCTGTGGCATATTAACAGTTACAGAAAAGAAACTATGATGCCAAAAATCAGTGAAGGGGAAAAAAAGCAAGGAAAGAATAGAAAAAACCCAAACCAAAATAGTAATTGTTTATTGAAAGTTTTTCATATATGAAAAGGTTTTTATTAAAATATAAGCTTTTTAGAGTAAGACACTGAGCATCAGTGAGCAGATACCTCTGTTCCTTGTTTTACTCAACACTAACTGCCAAGATCTGGATCCTGTAGACATCTGGAGAGTGCACAGGGAAGGCAGAAACCCTACCCTGATTAATCATTGTTTTGTATTATTAACAAAGGCAGCTCAATGACATCAGAAAACACTTTTAAAGAGGAAGTAAACATTTTAACATTTTAGAAACCGGAAGGTGACTTTCTGTCCAACTGAAATACTCTCCCATCACATCCTCTCCAAGCTGACACAGTGAGGAAAAGAAGATGAAAGTGCGTTGGAAATTGTTAATTGTTAATAACAATTTCACTTAACTGGCCTACAGCACTAACAGTTATGTTTTAACAGAAGAGAAAAAAAATGTCAGAAGCATCCAAAAGGTGACATGTTTGTACACAGTATGCAAATGTATTCATAATACTCCTACCTGATCTGCTACAAGACTGGCAATTTCTTCATAGGTTTTCCCTGCTTCTGTTATTGCTCCATTGAGATCAGATTCTCCTAAAAGTAAACATAAATGTTCAAATTACATTAAGTCAATTACAAAAAGAAACTTTCCTTGATTCAAGGCAAACTTACAAAATAGTTTATTTTAAATAATAAATATCTAGCCATCCTTTTACAACCAACAGTAATAAAGAATTTAGAAAAATATTAAAGGAAGACTAAACTGAAGATCTTGTAAAAAATGAATGTTCTAATACAGTAATAACACTATTTAACTTGACATTTCATAATTTTTTCATGTTTAAGAATGTAAGTATTCCCCCATATGTGGCAACAGAAGTCTACCAAAATGGAGAGGGAGGAAGAATGAGGAGGGTGACAAGAGAAGATAGGCTAACAAAGCTGAAGAACACCTGATGTTCTGATTTTTAGTAAACAATTCTCATACCTGATAAGCAGTAAGTTCTCCACAATGCCCTACAAAATAGTGATGCTATCCCTGAGTTCTCCAACAGTCCTGGACCACAGGTCAATGGGCAGATAAGCAGAAGGAGGCTCAAGTAACTTTTTTTCCTGCCAACAAGCTTTCTGACCCTTTAGGGAACTCTCAGATAAAATTTTCAAGCTCTGTAAAATTCACTCGCTTTCAGAGTGAGTTTCTAACTTTCATTATCACTTGAGACAGATCAAAGAGCCCTACAATCTACAATTAACAATACAGACATCACCACAAATCTAAGCTAGACAACATCACAAGCACTCATAACACTGTATTACTAACAGGACACAGCTACGTGGGACAAAGATGGAAACAAGCCTTACATTCTTGTACTTTTCATGCTACTTCACTTTCCCAAAAGACCAAAGACTTTTTCCGTCCTGTTTAGCTTGTCCAAAGCACATAGTCAACGGTACAGAATACAGAAAGCAAATTGAGGTAGACAGTAGAAAGGGGAAGGTATAGTTTGCAGATATCAAACTTTAGTTTAAGAAAAAAATAAGTCTTGATATTAGGCAGGGGTTAGTCTTTTATGAACATTTTGTTTTTATTGTATTGACATTAATTTTATAGACATTAATCAGTAACTTCATTGAAAATTATCATTGATTTCACTAATGATGAATCTGAACATCACTATCTTCTTTTACTACAACATATGGTTTAATCTATGTTAGAAATTTATTATATAGGATTCCTTCATTTTAGCGTGTCCTAAAGGAAACAATGACTGAATGTTGCTTCAGGTCTATCAATCGATTCTTACTTTCCCTTAGGCTGGTTTCATTAAGTCAAACACCTTTGAGGAAAAGTGACTGATCCTAAAAATACTGAGTCCAGTAACAAAACACTGCTAAAGAAATCATTATTTTTCTTCTATTTGAGCCTGTTAGGATAAAATAAAAATAAAACTACTATAAAATCCTGTTGTGACATCTAAGAGGTACATAATTCAGAAGATAACTTTGCCTTTTGTAAAACAATAAAAAACCCCTGGAGGTGATTAATTTCATTAATTCAGAATTTCAGAATTCCCATGCCTGCTGAGAAGAAACCTGGAAGTAACTGCTGCTTAGGCAACTGATTCCTAGATTTTGGGTTAAAACATGGTTTGCCTTTAGAGTCAGAAGCCAGGTTGGTCTAGACAATGCTGTTCATTTCATAATGCCACAAAAGGCAATAACTCTTCCAATCTGGACATAAAGAAAGAGGAAGAACATGTATATTCAAGTCGAAAGAGAAAATCCTCCCTTTCTGTGCAGAGCTCACTCAAGGAACCTTCATAGATTGGAGCTTTAAGGAATCACACACCCTCCCAACACTGACACTTTTTCATTTGGGGCAGCAGGGCACAAAACCAGCTTGTAGAAGGCACAGGGTACATTAAGAGTTTTTCTACTAGCAGAGGCATTCATACTTCTCCAAAAGTAGGGCTAAGGGATAGTATACTTAAAAGTTGTTCCAGACAGTGGATCCCAACAGTAAATAGGCACACCAGTAGTAGATGAATATCTGCTGCTCCTCAAGCTGCATCCTTTTGTTGTACCATCTCTTTTTTGACTGGTGCCAGGACATTTTTAAAGAATCAGAGTTCATCTCTCACCTGAAGCACCCATCAAGTTACACATTATCAGCAGTGTCACGCCATGCTTACTTGGGTAGGTCACTCCCTACACCAGTCCACCTGTCAGAGATACAACTTGCAACTCACGTGGCCATCCATTACAACTTGAATTCCAGAAGCAGATTGCTCACAATTACTTTTTTCAGCACAGGTTTTGGTCAGTTTTGTTAACTGGATAGGGAAGAGTTTCCAGCATTTTCAGCTTCTGGACTTATGCAGCTTCTTAACTCAAACCACAAAAGCTGAGCTGGGTCCCAAGGCAAGGATATACCAGCATGTCAGGATATTTAATAAATAGAAAAGTAGAAAGGCCCAAGTGCTTCTGACATTTATAACAAAATTATGCCAGTGTGCAAGAAACAGAGGGGCCTTAAAAGCATTGACTGAAGATAGTTATAAGAAGAATGGTCAGTAATATTCTACAGATATTTTAATCCGACCAGAAGGAGAAACTGATATTTTTGTTTACAGACCTGCATACTGTCACAAGGAGATGAAAGAAGATGTAAAACTAAGAGGAACCTTTTGGAGATGTTTGATAGAGCATCTCTTAGCAGTTCAACTGCTTGGTAAAAGCCAAGGATAATAATTTCTGAAGGAATACACCAGACATATTGAGGGAACTAATAATCTGTAAGGTTTGACTGGTACATTCCACTGTACCACGTGGAATGATTAAGTGAAATTGTACATGAACGGCAGGCAGGACAAAGTGAGGGCAGTGGTGATGAAGACATTTAAAGCCACATGTGCGTTGTACTTGCTCTCTCTTCCTGGGAACTCCAATTAAAAAATAAAGAATCCTATATATTATTAATTTGGAAAAAATACACTGGTGTGCCAGTTATTGAAAAGAGCAAAATACATGGAATCAGGGCAAAGGCATGTGTGGGAAGGGAATTTTCCTCAACAAGATATTAGGATGCAATCAGACACAACTGGGCAAACAGGAAAGAGATGCTTCCTTGCCTTGTTCTCAAGCATCATGGGATCTAATTTTTCACACCATTCCAAGATGCTGGAAATCAAACTGAAGGTTTCTTTCATTTGCTGGTCTGCAATTCTGCATCCTTGCTTTAAGCCATATTGTTTTCCCTTTACCCTGGCAAAAAACTGTGGGTTATAGCTCAAGCAATTCTCAGTCCTTTCTCAAGAATTCTTGCTGCAGATTCTATCCAGTTAGGATTTATAGTTTTCTAACCCATGCTAAGAGTACATAACTGTGCAAATCCTTTACTTCATTCTCACATCCAGAGGTAACTTTTTAGGCAATATGCTGAGCTCCAATTCTAACTAAGCAGTCATCCTGTTGAAGTACAAGACACAGATGAGGGCAAACTACAGGAACTATGCCTATTTCCAACGCTTCCAGCAGGAGAGAACCTGAGTTTCAGAAGGTTGCACTTTCATACATGGTTTATGGGGCAAAATGTTTTAAGAGTACAAAGCAAGGGATACATGAGTAGTCAGAGTAACTGGTCAACTAATAGTTCAAAGGCAGAAATATTTCAGGAAGCGTCTATGTTATAACATTTAAGATTTTAGAACAGAGCAAATTTGCTATCAAGTCTAGAAAAAAACCCAAAAGCCAAACACATTTGAAAGGAGAATCCCAGAGGAAACTGACTCAATAGACCTCCTCTATACATGAGGAAATATTTTCCAGTTATCTGGAAAACATCAGCAGAACTTAATATATCAAGGCAGGATTTTAAGTTTGATCTAAAGACTACATTTTAGGAGAACTCTGAGCAATTGATGCCCTTCTTTTCCCTCTCACAACTTTCATACCTAAGATGACAGGCTCTATTTTAGGGCTCTTGAAGAGAGGTGAGGGTGAAGGACAAGAAAAGGGTACAGTAGCCAACCCTCCAGCCCACATAACTGATTACAACATACTGTAATAAGTTTTCCATCATCATGAGGAGTTGTTGTATCATGAAGTCAGTCACAAAATAGTTCTGTGACAACTATTTTCAATGCTACATTTTCTTCTCTTTCCTTCTGAAATCACGAAAAATGCTACAGCAGGTTTTGTCAGTGAGGTCAGTGACCAGATTATATATTAATAGATCAAGCTAAACTCCTCCACCGCCACTAACCCACCACATGATTATACAGTGAGAGAAAACAAGACTGCAGACTAGAATATGAAAACCCTATACAGGGAAACATGTTTTCAGTATGTTTTCCAGAATCATGTTTGACATCTAAAGCTCAAAGAGGAAAGCATTAAGATCTTCAAGGAAAAAAAAAAAAAAAAAGTAGCATGATATAATTACAATACTTCTTTTTAAGTAAAGTGCAAATGAAGCTATAGAAGTACCTTGGTATCCACTAGTGCTGAAGACCAGTGCCAGGGTCTGCAATGCTTTTCCTATCTTCTGATATTCCTTGGGTAGTGCTGGAAGTGGGAAAAGGATAAGGAAAAGAGGGAAAACAGAAGCAAAAAACCCACAAGGGTAAGTGAGACTAAATCTGCAGCATTTCCAAAACTTGATAGAAGCAGATGTCAAAAACAACTAAGTTTCATGTTTCCTCTAGTGACACATTTACAATCACGTTCTTTACCCCCTCCCCTGCTACACATGTTCCAAAACTGGATAAAGCAACTGCAGTCTGTACTCTTGAAAGGTACAAACAGTTGGGGGAACAGTGTGTGAATGTTATTAGAAAACAAAAAAAATTCACTGCACTCCTAGCTCAGTCCTCCTAAGCATTTGGTGAGATTTTTTTCCCTCCCCCTCATGGGGGGAGAGGGGAAGTGCAGGAGCATGATATGGAGACCGGGTCTCATTAATATTTTACGATAAGAGATTATCATACAGACCTATAAAATCTAAACTCTCTTAAAATCATGAATTTTATATTTAAAGGCACCAGAAACCAAGATTATCTAGGTATAAAAATTAACGCAAGTATCTGAAAAATAAAATTGTTTTTATAATCTATTTATTGAACATGCATGCATAAACTGCTTTATTAACACTTTCAGTAGCACCACTCCAGAAGCCTAAAAAGCAATCTGAAAAGCAAAAGCAATTTTTTATGTGCTACCTATGCTAGCAGAAAAAACCCAAGTAGATGTGGATTTTGTTATCAAATATTTGTATTCAGAAGGTACACTGTTCAAGCAAATAGAAGGTTTTTAACTGCTCTGGCATTCAATGCAACCTGATTTTTACAGAAGAACTCCTTTATGTGGTATAAAAAACACCACAAAACCCAAAATCAAGCCCCCCAAACTGCATAATTTTATTGATTATCTTTGATCAAGCTCTTGTCCAGCAGTTAGACTATTTATGAGAACTGGTATGTCTTATACAACAAGTAAAATTCAGAGTACTAGGGTTCTGTTGTCAGCAATTAAATTGTTACTGAATGTCCAGTGTAAACTTCAGTGAAGACTGTTTGGTTTCTTTTCGTTTGCATTTAAGAAGTTTCTACTGTAAGTCATTTTAAATATCATTGAATGGAAGGCACATAACTATTGCTCAGGAAGTGCCAAAAATACTTCTGATTAAGAGTCAGGACTAGAGCTGACAAGGATCTTAAAACCTAATAAATACTAATAAAATTCTTCAGTTTTGCATATCCCAATTTACTAGTCTCTTTTTTTGTATTCAGTATGGATGTCTGGAAATTAAAAGGTAATTTTTTTTACACAATCACAACTGTATTACTTCATTTATGCTAAGTAATTAATAGCTGTAAGTATTAGAAGAGTCATTCAATATCTTAAACACTAGTGTCATAAGTGTAGGAAGATTTTAGCAGTTAAAATAATACTGAATTTCTACTGTAAGCACAACTCACAGTCAGCCCTTGGTTTGATCATTGCTTCTATAAATGCAAAGCAATGGCGTTTTTCTCATCTGAGGAACCTTATTCCTTCCCTGAGCTCCATTTTTCCCTCAGTATAATTTCCTGGTGAAGCAAGATCTGTACCACGTTAGAGCTCTGTAATGTGTTAGACTATTTTTGACCAGCAGGAAGGAAGGTCAGTGACATGTAGAAGGAAACCCTCTCATTCAAAGTGGGGAAATGTAAATAATTGAAAGTTATTGAGCATCCTATAGATGCTCAAGTCTAATGTAATTGCTGCCACAAGAGATGGGGCTTCAGTACTTCCCATCCTTTCTGGTCAGCCCCAGATATTCAACTGCAGTGTTAGATTAGAAAGAAGCAAAAAGATAACTCAGGAGATGTACTTACTCCAAAGTCTGGGGGCAATGTTTTTTTGTGGGAATTAAAAGGAGGGAGAAAAAAATTAAGAGGATTTGAGGAGATTTATGTGATAAATCTTTGGTTGCCAGACACTACAGCCTGCCCTGACGTGTTTCTTATTATGATCCTCAGCTGTAGTACCTGCTTCCTTTCAATAGCTGCCTTGTGGTGGCCACAAACACTGAACACTGCTGTGGACTAGGAAATTAGAGCCCAGGCAGAGTCATAGGGACTTGGTGTGAAGTTCTGCAACCCTAAATATCTGTGGGAAGGAAGAGACAAGATAGGAAAAAAAAAGAATTGGGCTAAAGATTAAGTTAGAATCAAGTTGTTTTTTCTTTTCTTTTTCTCTTAAACTCATTTCATCTTTAATCACTCCTCCTGGCATGCAATAATCCTAAATAAGGGGTTAATAAAATGCAATTATTTATGATTTCATCAAATAGACAGGTCTACTTTGCCCATGTCACTAAAATGCAGATAAATGACAAATATATGAGAAGAGGTCTTATAAGGGCTTTAGCTGCATTGCTAGAATTATTTAACTTTAAATATTTTTAAACCTATGGGCAGGGACCAGATATTTCTGTTATGAGATAAAGAAAAAAAACAACCCAACAAAAAAACACACATCATACATACCAACAAAAAACTTGCACAATTTATACTCTCAGACACTGAAAGCAGCCAGAATGCTGCACAATTCTCTTTATAATTTAGGATTTCCTTAAGTTTTAAGATGTTTCTTGAATTATAGACACCAAAACCAACAATAACAACAAAAAACCAAACCAACCAGAGAAAATCAAGACAGAAATGACTGCTGAGTTCAGAAGGACACTTACGCCCTGTACACCTCTTCCAGTGCTCTTGTCCCACAGTCAGCAGCTCTTTCACTCCATCGTCCATTGCTTTGGTGAACCTACCCACTGCATCACATTTCTGTTCTCTATGGCATTAAAAAAGCAGAAACAAAAAGCAGTTAAATCCAGGATGACACAGGACTGTCAAGGTATTAGCAAAATCATTTCAGTAAATAGCATCTTTGCACTGAAAAACTTAAGAATTATTGAACAAGATGGTTTGCCCACTTCCAGGAGATTAATGGTTTTCAAGATTGCACTCAAACTTTTAAGAGCACTCCCAGGCACTAGAACATGTGGACATTGGAGATGTTACAGCCACCCTTGCAGCTGCTTCGAAATAGGTCTTCAGAACCAATCCAGGCTGCCAGCCCCAGCCAGGAGCCCACAGTGGGTTCCTGCTCTGATGAGGATTCCCCGCAGGATGCTTGTCTCCCCTCCCCATTTGAGGACAAACTGTTCAGTAGATCATATGCTGGTTGTTCTCTGCCAGGGTTTTGTATGTAGTACATATTCTCTCCTAAACCCTATGTATGAAATCTTCCTTCTCCTTCATGCCTTCAGCTTTTATGCCATATACATGAAACACATCACTTAAGAAAAGTAGTCAAGTTTGAAATTCTCATGTTCAAAGTGCAAGTGACTTAAAAATGTCCATGTTTTTTTACTAGTATATATCTGCTACCACACAGCTATTATATCTGTCTTAATATGCACTGAATTACTTGGATTAAGTCTATGCTATTTCCAATTGTAGGTACATTACTGCTTTGCTACTATAAACATTTCTATCTAGTTCATCCACACAAAGTTTCTGTGTTTTACAACAGCAAGCAAAACATGTCATGCATACTACAGATCTTACAAGAAAAATTATTAAGCCTAAAGGAGTGAAAGAAAGGGTGCAGAATAAATCCAGTCTTTCACACTATGAAACCCAAAGGTCTATCATCAAGAGAAGTATACATTAAGAAGTGTACAAAATATTCATATATAAATTAAATATATCCCTTTTGAACTTCCAGAAGGATACCTCAAAAATGTATCAACCCATTTTAAATGAAATTTGGTAATTTAAATCACTTTAATTTTTAATAGCTTTCCAGGGATTACAGATATTAGAATCATACTGTGAGTGGATTATATACAACTATTTTATAGAAACACTGTTTTCCTTATTGGTCCACCTACAGTTATCTTAAGTTACTTGGTAAGTCTAGCACTTTTTTCTATTGTAGGAGGATTGGAGATTAAAATGTACTTCCATGGCAATATAAAACACAACTCCACAGGATTTGATAGTACTCTATTCCATCAACTAGTTTTCCATAAATTGTTTTAGGATCAGTTTTCAGCCACTGAAGTCAGAGACATCACACGATGTTGGAGGGGTTGATATGAAAATCTCATATTTAAACAATTTTTCAGCTCTGCATTGATGAATATCTCTTCAAATCCACGGATATGAGTGCACGCTTACTATTTGAGTTTTGTATTAGCTCACTACCAGTTGTATACCCAGATGCAAAACGCCCATGCGAAAAGAAACCACCTTACATTTCTACCATATCCAAGTCAGGAGCTTCTGGTTCCATTGTAGAAAAGATCAGGACTCCTACAGTTTCATCCTTTTCTGCCTTCCGCTTTCCAGTTTTCCACTCCTTAAGAAAAAAAAAAAAAAAAAAAGAGACAAAGGAGATTTTTAAAGACTAGACTGGAAAATTTACTCTTTCAGCAAGATCTATGTGTATTTAGAAGTGTGATTATTTTGAGGAGAAAGAAGTAGATTTTTCCTGTTTATTTCCTCATTCATAACAGAGCTGGAGCTTAGCCATGAAGAAACTATTATTTACTGAAGGTTTATTTACTTCATTTATTATTTAGTGAAGATATTAAAAACTCTCTCACTCAAAAAAGCATAAAATAAAATATGTGTGTGTGTGAGAAAAAATGGCTGGTTATATCAGGTAAGACTGCAGCATAATGCTTTGACAACCTATTTCAGTGAAAAATAGTGTTTTTGAGGGAGGGGGTTTGTTTTTAAATACAATACAGGATCAGACACAACCTAGATCTACTGTGAAGTAGCTTCTGTTAGCAGAGCAGTACCACTCAGAGGATCACAGTGATTAGTAAATCCAGCAGAGACAGAGCAAGGCAACAGTCAAAAGAGTATTTATGTATTATTCTGTACTTATTCTGATGGAGGACACAAACTGTCCCTTAAAAGACTGGCAATAAAGCTACTTTGAAGAGCACAGCTCTGTTGGAATGGTGTATAGCATTTCACATGAGCAACTTTATGCCTTGTTTTGGTCAATCAGCTGAGTAGGGAAACACAGCAGTTTCCAACCCATCACTATTGCCCACAGGGGCAGTATGAGGCAAACAAGGTGGCTACAGAGTTGAGCTCTTGGTTTGAAGGGGAATTTGGGGGGCAGCAGTGCCTCAATCTGTGTATGAACTTTATTTCCTACCTTCTCATCTCGGAAATTGAGGAATTGCTGGAAAACTTCACTTTCTGAGACAACAGGATGGCGACACATTCTCGTCATCCACGCTTGCAGTCTCTCCATACGCATTTTGATAAATTCCTCTTCAAAGCGCCCTGTTATATATTGAACAATAATTATTACATTTCTACTCTAGGACCCTCAATTTTTTTTCTTTAATTTAAATTGAAACAGAACCTGTAATTCAGCTGGTGAGTTATTAACCATTTAATGACTCAGAACTTACAAGAAGGAGATATTGCTGAAAAATCAGAACTATCTTAAATTACAGTATAATCATTACTGACCAAGAGTCCTCCTTTTTAAGATTGCCATGAAATACTAAAAATCCTATCATATCCACCCACAATTCAAATACACTTTTGGGTAAAAAACTTCCAATAAACTTTTGGATGGAAAAATTAGGTATTCAGATGACCAAGAGAGAAATTAGCCACAGGCTTGGAATGCAGATATTTTTCTGATACAGTCTGGTAAACTCATGGTAAATGTAAGGGTCAAACAGTGGAGAAAAAGGAGCTAATTACTTTACAAGTCATGTACTAGCTAACAAAGCACTGAAATTAGACTGCTCAAATCAAACCACAGATTTTAAAAAGCAGCATGTCCTATAAATATATTTCCATATAGGTAAATTGGGGGGAAAAGTAAAAAAAATCTCAACAAATCATTTGTACAAAGCAGTTACATCCATTTAAGTATGTAACTGAGCTTTTTTTGTAAAGATATTTTTAACACAAACTAAAAAAGTAACCATTTTTTTAAAAAACAGTAGTGCATCATCACTTTGTATTTGTAAGAATCTTTTAGTTTTAACACCTTCTTGAGAGAATCCTTTATAATTTTAAAAAATGCATGACATCAGGCTTCTAAAGCAAACAGTGAATCGGATGTATTTGAAAGGAATGAGAGAATCCTCCAGCATCCAACTCTTCTAATTTCCATAGCAGCACAGATGACAAGCCTTAAACACGTGTACTCTTTCAATATAATTCTACTGTATAGTTACTATGGCAGCAGCTCTACAAGGGTGAGTTTTCTGTGTTTTGTGGTTTGGTCATTTATTTATTTATATTTATTGCAAATATGGAAACTAGCAACACCAGCAAGTAAAGAACACAACTAATGAAAAATGAAGTTTGGGTGTGGGTCCTTTTCCTGCAAACTAGCAAAAAAAGAAAAAAATCATTATATACCTTTCTGTAATACTTTATTTCATCTTTAACCTACACAGAAATCTCCATAGCATTCCTGCAAGGAATGCAAAACAACAGAACAGTAACATTTGGAAGTTACATGTTGGTCACTCAGTATATCATCTCCAGCAAAAATAGGATCCTAACACAGTCAGTCTGTAAAGAGTCTTGTTTCCTCAAGACCAACAGACAGAAATACTTCTCTAGACAATCTTTAGAAAGAAGCCTCCTAAACACAGTGAAAGATAAGCACCATTTTCCCCCAGAGTTTCCCTGTAGTATTTCAGAAAGAGACATGCTTTTCTTTTCATTTTTAGCATGAGGGAAGTTACTCTCTCCCACAGACTCCACAAGACAGAAATCCACAGGCAACATTTAACTGTGATGCCAAACTCTTGAGTCTTTTAAGATACAGTAACAAGGAAATCTAGAGACCCCATCAGGTCTTCTGGTTTCCTTTTAGCCCACATGCACATGTTTAAATAAAAATGCTGGTCAATTCTAAACACGAGGCTAAGGGGAAGAAGTCACTTCCTCACTTTTCAGTTTCCTCGGCATTTATCCCAGCAACTTCATCAATGCTTAGCTTTCTTCAAACACAGCAGAACTGCTGCATTTTCAGTGGTGCCCACAGTCACGTGGTTGGCAACATGCCAGCACTTGTATGTTTGTTTTTGGCTGGTTGTCTTACAGGCTGTATAAAAACTCTTACCAGAAAACATACAAGAGTAAATAGGCAAAAGTAATGCAATTTCATCCTACACAGGTGTCCATTCTTTTCTTCACATGCACTCTAGCATGTCCTTGTAGAAAGGAAGCCAGACACTACTGAAAATCATAGGCATTGCCATATCCTATTGCAATGACTGAACTTATGTGCATTTAAAGGGTCCAATCCCACTTTTCTTGAAGCCAGAAAAAAGGACTTCCCGAAGCTTCAGAGAGTTTGTTCAACCTGAACTGATATCAAACCAGAGGAGAATGCTATACAAATGAAAGATGCTTTCTAAATCAAGTGTGAAATCAAGCAAGAGGAAAAATGCTACAACATTTCACTTGTATGTGAAAAAAAACAGTTTGTCAGGGAATGCTCCCTTTCTTCTGGGAGTTTTGCTTCAAAGCTCTGACAATGTAACATATGTGCAATCATATGCAAAAGAAAAAAAACCCAAACAAAATAAAACACAATGCACCCCTTCCCCTCTGTAAAAAAACCCCAAAACAAAACAAAAGCAATCACTTAAAAATATTTGTCCAGCAAATATGCAGCATAAATAGTTCTTTCTTCTCCCCAATAATAAATATTATCTTATGTAGTAATTAGGGAGGGTTGTTTTGTTTTGTTTTTAATTACCTTTTTTTTTTAATCACTGGACTAGATAATCAAACCTGAGTTCTGAAATGATTATCTTAGTACTGATCTTTTATGATCAGTTGGCCATAACAGTTCATCATAAGTTTTGAATGATGAAAGTTTGGGGTTTTGGACACCTTCTTTAGAAGTAATGGGAAAAACAAACAATAAGAAATAACTAAACCTTAAAACAAGTGATCTCCTTATTTCCCAGTCCATGAATTCACAACCATGAACAATTACCTGTTACTTGCTTGTCTGGAAGAGAAGGGATTGGAATGGCTAATCCAAATTTAACCAGGAGCCGCTCATACAACCAGTCAAAGTGCTTGTATCTGTGGTTGACAGACCGATTAGTGTTCTGTAAGAGAAACACAGCTCTGAACTTTGACAGGCATCTACAGATGGTGACATGAAACATGACCAGAATGGCAACTACATGGAATGTAAATACAATTTACAATTTAGAGCCTCATTGCAGACAAACTTGAAATGCTAGAACAAAGCACTACTCTTTGGGGGGAAAAAAAAAAAGACAACTATCACTTACTCTTATAATGCTCTTACAAAGTCATACAAACTGTATAATTTATATATACAAATGACACATATTTCCAAGATGAAAGATCCTGTTTCAGATACACTTACAGTGCAGGTCAGCTGATATTCAATGTAGCTCTTGAGACCATACATTTTAGAACCTTTTTTGGGATCTGCCACCACACAGTCAAATGTAGAGGTAGGATACACCCACATGGGGCCATAATCACCAATCTGTAAGAAATAGCAAATATTATCATTAAATACATCATGTTGTACCAGCTGCAAACAAGGAGACAAATATCTTCTATCTGCATTTGACAGTTCACATTAATTTCAGTGAGAGATTAAGAGTCGGAAATAGAGGGATTTCTTGCAACCAGGGATGACTGACCACAGCTGAGTTTATCTTGTGTATTTCGCAATTTTTCCCAAAAACCAAAGGAGTGATGAATCCCAGGGTTATTTCAACCACATTAAACAAAAACAGCATATATCCAGAAGAGTTTGTTTTTTAGATCAGAAAATGACCTGACCATCCGGACTGAAACCTTGCAAACCTTTACAAATGTAGCTCCTACATATACCTATCTAGATAACTAACAGAGGGTGTAATGCATTTGCTCTGCCGCCTAATCCCAAAAAGGCTCATTTTCATGATCACAGTGTAGACCAAGAACAAGGAAAATGGTACTGAAAATAATAAACGCCATCATCATTATCACACTTCACTGTTTTATTATGACAGTTCTAATTATACGTTCAGTGTAAGTTTCTTCTGGCCCAAATACATACAGCAACCCTGAGTCTAAAAGTTCAGTTCAAAAAAAAGGGAGGGGAGAAGAGGATTAAAAAAAAACAAAACAAAACAAAATAGAAAAAAACAACTCTAAAACAAAGCACACCACTCACATAGAAAAATTACACACATGTCCCCAACTTACAATTATAGGAATTTTCTCTTTGGGTTTTGCTAGCTGCTTTGCCAACAGATACTGTTCCATTCCAGGTTTTGCAAATCCAGGAAATCTAACAATAAAATGAAGTGAAAAGTTTATTCCTTATTATCTTTCATTTGACATATGCAGAATTACCAGCCATTATGGAAAAAAGAACCCTAAGTATTTCTCAAGTATAGATGAGAACTAATGTGAATTACTTTAACAACAATATGATCTGAAAAAAACAGAAAACTTTTAGTTACTGACATCCAGCTTTTTCTTTTGTATATGTGTGTAATATGGGACCCTTTTTCCAGAGCAAAGTGCTATTTGTGCTCTGCAGTCCATCAAAGCAAACCTAATAGGAAGACACAAAGTAACATCTGTCACTCCCCTGCAGCCCACCATCTCTGAAAATACACACACACACAGAGATGCTCATGCACCTGAGATTTCATATTATGATAAGTAAATCCTCTGAAAGAATGATGAACAGCAGATTTATGAGTTATCTCAAATAATTTATCTCAAATCATTTATCATTTATCTTTAGAAAGAAATCTGCACAAAAGTCACTGTAATGTCCTTGAAGGCTTATAAAAAGCTTTACAAAAAGCAAACTGTGGTGCTCTTTCTAATTAGGAAGATAACTAACCCTCAAAGTATTGCCAGCCTACTGCCTGCTTGCAGAAACATAAGGACTTACTTCATAGATAGACAAATAACACTCTTAAATAAGTCATTTTTGTGGGTTTACAACAAGTAGATGCCACAACACTGCAGAGTTACTCTTGCAACAATGGACAAAAAACCCACTGATGAAAAATAGTCATAAAGAGACAGTTGATATTAGTTACATATACAAGGAACCATTATTCTGAAAATTTTTCCATTCTGCTTTTATCCACTTAGAGATTACTACACAGTAGATCTCAGAGTAAAAACAGTTTTAAAAAACAAACATTAAGTTGTAACATAAGATAATGCTATTATAGCCCTGATAAAGTTTGAGGCTAATGTAAGATTTTTATATAATAATCAAACTTTCTATGGCTGAAGAACCAACTTGGATGATACACACTAAAGCAGAACCTTTTCCCACTGGAAACTCAAATTGCTCAGGAACTCTGGGGCAGCATCTTTGATCAGTCTCTACTGCATGGACAAGACATCCATCACCTTTCATTCTCATTAAGAACAGAAACAGTCAAAGAGGTAAATTTTAAAGACCAGTAGGTCCAGAAGTTCAGACATTGTGAAAGGGTCCTTTGCCTGTATAACACCTCAAAAAATACAGCTGTCATGTACTTTCAAGCTTTCATGGATCTGTGTCCTCTGATTGCTCATAGAGTATGCCAAATTACAAATCCATCTTCTCTTCTAACCCAAAACTGTAACATTTACATTGCATATTTCAAGAAGGTTGAATGTCACACATTTACACATCTCGACAAATTCCAATCCTCTTCAGTATATATACATTCCCCCTGCATTTTCAATTACTTGTTAAGTGGTAACTTCATAGCAGCTGCACGAGAATTTCCACGCTGGACCCCCCCAGCCTCTGATGCCTCAGTTTCCTTGTAACCAAGGTAAGACGGTGAAGCTGATTTTGGTTCATCCCAGTCATCATCCCAATCATCGTCATCGGCAGCTGCTGAAGTAGAGGAGGGGGCAAGGGGATAGGGAAAAGGAGAAAGTTAAATAATTTCTCTTCAAAAGTACCACCAGGTACTTCATATAAATAATCAACTAGGCAAATATATTAAGATCTATTTCAGCCTTCTGTTTTATGATTCCCCCTCAACTATCAGTGTCCCCACCAAACACAACCTGCAAAGCAGTATACTAGAAACCCACTGAGGGAGAGTGAGAGAAAAAAAATAAGAAAGAAAAAATGATGGTGTTTTAAGATTAATCCAATAGGTTCCATTTTCACAGACTCCAGGTTAGCATTCCCCAGTTATGGGTTCACCTCTTAATTTAGGCTTTTACTACAAAAAGTAGAGAAGCCTTCTGAAAGATTAGTCACTTATTTAAATTAAATATTTAAGAGACTACTTCTTCACAAGCCTGAGGGCAAAAATTCAAGGGTGTTTAAATTTCCAGTTATGCAAGCTGAACAACATGCCTGAGAATAGATCATGTGTGCACAAGGTTTTGGTTTGCCAGATTTCCATGTAAGTTTCACGTGTCTGTTCTGATCTGATTTCACAAAAATATATATTTCATTTTTAAAAACACTTATTTTAGTGTCCAGATTACCCATGTGGCAATGTGCTACTAGGAAACTGGTTTTGGTTTGTTTTTTAAATAAACCATGTTCTGTAGTTATGAAAGATTAAATAATTCTTACCTCTACTGTCCACCTACTCTAATTTATTAAAAAAATAAGAGCATTATTAGCACACCTGGTCCTTGATAAGCCTGTGGATGACCAAATGCTGCTGCTGCCTCCCAGTTATTTGGAGCAATGTTTCTCTGGCCAGCTGCACTTTCAGGTTTTGTCGCCCAGCTGTCAATAGCATTTCCATTATCCCAGTTCCCAGACTTCCCAGCATTCCAGCTGGGCCAAGGATCATTGGCAATGCTTGCCTACATCATAAAGAAAAAAGTAAAGAAGCAATTGCTGAAAAAACGAGCAACAACCATGTACTTTCCTCCTGAAGTCTTTGATCTCCTGGTGATAGGCTATGAGTTTGCATTTAGCACTTCCCTTGTTTGATTTAGGAGCAGCTGTCAAATCTTTTGTTTCCAGGTACACAACTCTTTCATGCAGCAAGCACCTGGAAAAACTGACCAGCTTTCCAGCAATGTAACGCCAATACATACTAACAAGAGTGTTTCTCCTCAGGGAAATTAACCTGTCTGTTGCAACAGTGTTAGGAAGCAATCTTAGGTGGTAATTATTTTATTCTGACACCATAAGTATGGTATATGTGAACTATTAATTACCTAAAGCCATGGACTAATTAGAACATTTAAAACAGGAACTCAGAAGTCAAGGATTAGGTTTTTGCAAATATTTAATCAAACTCATATTAGTTGCTTTACTAAAAGCAAATTACAAACTGCCCACCAACATCATCACTATTGATATGACAATTAGGGAGTTAAGGTCAACAACCTGCTGAGCTTCCCTGTCAGAGCTTAACTTGCTCACAGTGAAGATGAGGGAAGGAAACATCTGCCAGGGAACAGCCTGGCATTTCCTTGGAGACCTACTCTCTCAGCATAAACTTGTCATGAAGGTAATCAGATATACCCATCTGCTGATGCTGTTGTGGAGGTGGAAACCTTAGTGATAAAGAGTGTAGAGCGCACATGCCTCTTAACTACTGCATCAGTTTGTCAAGTTCATCTGCCAGTTAAATTGGATTAATAGCTTAGCATCCTGCTCAGCACCTTGCTTTGAAAAAGCATTGACTAGTTAAGTGCAGTCTACTTCAGACACTTAGTACAGAGACCTGTTGGCAGAAAGAAAAAAATTGCACACATATCAAAACCTACATACCCAAAATATAAGAGGAAGAAAGAGTAGAAGGGGAAAGAAGGCAAACAAAGCCAAGAAGGCTTGTCTCGTTCAGCAGAGGGACAAACTGCGTTTTGTAAAAGGAAGACTCAAATCCTAAAGAAGTTAATGCATTATTTTTATCATGAAGCAGCATATCAAAGAAGAGATGCCTAATATAAATTAATTGCTACTAGACTATAACATTTATATGTATCTCAGAACATTTGCCGGAACAGAAAATTTAAGAACTCCCACTAAAAGCCAAATTATTACCTGTAAAGATATTGAATAAGTTTGTTTCTTACAGAAAAAAGGTACAGCTACTCCACATCCCATTTTTCTCCACTAAACATTCTCTCCTCTCATTTCAACTTTGATATACTACTTAGGAATAAGAACTCTCACTGCAGTTTTTCAGATTTCACAGACATGATCTAACCTAAAGACTTGAAAATTATGCTGGTATCATATAACACCTGTTCTTTAGGCTCATAATCGCCAGGATCTGGAAATTAGGACCAAGCCCCTGGGGAAAAAAAAATCACCATTCAGAAGACTCATAAGAGACAGTGGGTCTCTAGGAACCGATATAGAGAGAGAGATTATGTGGACAGCTTCTGTATTGACACTTGGGGGACTTTTTTTTTTTTTTAAGGATGAAACAGATGCAAAAACACTACCCTGTATTGAGCAATATCATTGAGGTCTACCAAATTCTCAGATAGCTGATACACAGGGCTACTCTCAAAAAACTTACAAAGAAGCTGGTAGCTTATACCACTCTGCTCTCTCCCTATGATGTTCACCTGACATGAGTTTATGTAAGGTGAAATAACCCTACATGGCATTAGTCAGAGTTCATTATCTTTGCTAAATAAAAACACATGCACTGGGGCCCAACCCCACAGAAAAGCATGTTTGCTTCTAATGTAACTTAGAGTACCTAGAAAAGAATAGTTTGCATAATACTAATTTGCCTATACTTCCGCAATATATGGTGTGCTGATCACTAGCAAATGAAAGCCCAGAAGTGGGATGATTGCCAGAAGACTGAGTAAAGTTTTCCTCGTCTCTGTAGTAGTTCATGTGAAATCCGTTACATGAGTAGGTGGCAAAGAAACCTTAAAATCTGCTGCAAAACAAGGGGGAGGCAATAATATTAACACTCGGTACACTACTAAAGAATGAGTGTCAAGAGCAATCAAACTTGCAGATAGTTGCTGATCTACTTGCAGAAGATGCTGTACAGCAAGGGGAAATGTATTACTTAAATTGCACTCTCAGACATCTTATCTCTGTGTATCTCTATGGAAACACTATTCAAATCAGAAAATTTTACTTCTGAGGTGTCCAAGAAAGCTCTGGGATAAGATCTTGCCCTTAGGTGTATTGCCCACAAGCTATAAAAGGGGTGGAGTAGGCTACTCCCTCTCAGTTCCTTTCAGCCAAAGGGTCCACATTTCTTTCTGAGGCACTGGGGAAGAGGAGCAAGAAGGTAAGAGATGGGTTAGGAATCTATATATACAGACAATAATTTTCAAAGAGCACTTACAGGACTCCTTTCAACTTTCTTGGGATGTTTGCCTACACACTGTGGACACTCCTAACTGGTAGTCAACAATCAGTAAACATGGAGAAGGGTTTAGGAATCAGGTCTATTATCCTCAAGGCATCATGGAGGACCAAATAAAGACACATCAATTATTAAAAGGGTAATCTCAGCTCCAGTCAGCACTTCCGTGGATTTCAGCAGCTGACAATGCCATACAAGAAGCCATTTATGTGGCCTGACTCTGGTTGAATAAACCCTAATTAAACCAGCCAGTATTTTGCAAGTGATTAGATCACATGTTCTTACACCTTTAGTTTTTCATAACTAAAATTGATAATCCTCTGATTATCACAAAAAATGTGAACAGTCTTTGCAAGAAACTGATGTTTAATAGTCAGTATAATTTGATACAACACCCCTAATATGCAAGTATGCAAGCAATCTCAAATGCAAGCACACAGGAAGTGCCATATCACACAACTAAGACACTAAATCAGCCTTCAAATGAAGCATTGCATCTCTTCATTCCCAAAGGTAACATCAAACAAGTACATTGAGTATAAATTCAAGAATAAACTCCCAAAAGGCAGTTGATTTTCCCTTTTGTAGATACTATGGACTTGCTCACTTCTACTGTTCTAGAAGAAAAAACAAGACAGAAAGGCTATGTGAGGAATGGACAACAGAGGGAACCACTGATGAGTATTTTAAGAGTCTTGCACTAAGGCCAGATTCAAAACATACAGAAGCAGATCATTACTGGTGGGGGGCTAGGGGATGGGAAGAGAAGTCTATATCTAATAATAGTTGAATGAGAAGAAATTCCACCAAACAGAAAAATACTCAGTTTAGGAGTGGAATATCTGTATCTTTACCAAATAAATCATTAATTATATAGGAGAAGTGACATATTTGCTATTTTCCAGAGAATCCAAAGCTATAGACAGTAAAACTAAGGTAAAGTGCTGAGGTACCTCTCTGCCCTGGCTAAAAATCTTTATTTGATTTCTTGGCTAACTAAGTTGTTCCTGGCAGACTCCTTCCTTATATTAATGTGTGCTCCTGATGGATAAATGATCCATTCTACCCCTGAGGGACAAAAGCCAAAACAAAAACGATGCTTAGATGCTAAAACTAATTTAAGAAATTAAAACTACCTAGATAACTGTGCCATCAAAAATAATGACCTTCAACTGTAAGAAATACACCTTGAAATGTACTCAGAGACAGAAGCCATGCTGAAGCAGTGAATAGAGAAAGTAAGTCTGATCAGATCAAGGGACGTTCCAGACAGCCAAAGCTGCAATGTGAAGTGTTATGCTCTTGAAGGGGGATTTAAAAGAGACAGACGGTACAGAGCAATGGCAGAAAACACAGGAAAAGTCACAGTGGCTCAGCCAAATAGCTCACAGGAATGAACATACCTCTCCAGTTTTATAGCTGCCTTAGTTACCTGCATGGAAACAAAGCCTTAGGCATACTCAGACATTACACTAAACTTAAATTCTTTGTCTAACAGTCTCTAATAGACATATTTAAAAAAAAAAAAAAAAAAAAGGTAAATTAATTTATAGATAGTCACTCTCACAATCAAGTGTTTTTCTCCAGGAAGAAAGACAAAGGGCTAAAAGCCCATATTAGCAGATAACTGAAGTAGCTGCCATACCTATGATATTTTATGGCTAAGCTTTCTTAAAGGTAAATCATTATCTTAGCATTGTGGTGCAGGACATTTCTTCCAATTCTGAAGGAAGGCCCTCTTTCCTGTAGTACAACCTAAAAACATACACATTCTTAAAGAAATCCTCTAGGAAAAGCAAAAGTGGAGATGGGCTAGATTTTAAAGGACACCTTAAGGACTCATACTAGCATGTTCCTGTGGATAAATACATGAAAGCAACATGGGAGAGGACCTCTAGAAGCAGCTGACAAGGAGGCAGTGGTAGTGCTGTCCTAGGAATCCATTTGTTCCTCAGCCACTCCTGTCATCTCACTTCCTTCCAGAGGAAACCACCATCCAGCACCTCCACCCGCAGCCTCACTGCCCCCTTCATAACTTAGCCCCTGCAAAGGAGATGGGCTTTGCCTGCTCACAGATCACACAAAGCCAAGGCACACCCGCACTCCTTGCTTTCAGCAGGAAATAAACCTAAACCACCAGTGGACAAATCAGGTTACTACCCCGAAGAGCAGAGTGGTTAGTTTTTTATTCTTTTCTGACTTCCAATCCTATTTCCTTACCTGTAAGGTTATTCGCAGCCAAAGTTGACTAGGGGCTTCATTTGCTTGTGCACAGTGCAGGTACAGGATTTCTGTTTATCAACTCTTTATTCAGCTCAAAAAAGTATGAAATGTTCTTTTAGAAAAATACATAATTTAGACTTGAGAAAATAATACTCAGTGATGGGACAAGGAGAGGCAAAACACATTGTCACCCTCACTGGTTAAAGGAAATTACTTTTTTTGAAATTAAAGTCTGCTTAGTTTCAAATGTCAGACACTAAAAATCCTATATATATTTATTCAATG